AGCATGAGCCATGTATCTCAACACAACTCTCAGCTGCAGTAGGTTCATAGACCCAGACATGGCTGTCTGTGGCAGCATGTACCATAGACATCAATATGGCCTCGGATGGTTGCACAGGCCATTCATATCAACCCGGCCCCTCACAGCAGATATAAACTTTGTGTTCTATTTAATTACAATGTACTAAAACTAGAAATAAATAGGAAAAGAATACATACAAGCTTATGGAGAATTAATAACACAGTATTGAATAGTGATAGATCATTGAAGCAATCAGGAGGGCAATTAAAAAGCCTTAGAATTTTCTTCAATGGCCCATTACCATTCAATATTGTGTTATTAAGTCCCCATAGTTTTGTGTGTATTCTCTTCATGTTGATTTCTAATTCTATTATATTATAATCAAATAGAACAGTGTTTATATTTTCTTATATTGATTAAAATTCACTCTCAGTTCTATAATACACTGTATTTTAGAGAATGTGAAATATTGTACATATGGGATAATGTATGGAATGTTAAATAGGATATGCATTCTTCAGTGTTAGAGTGAAATATTCTGAAAATGTTTGATAAGCCCACTGATCTATGACATCATTTAGCTCATATCTTTACTTGCTGACTTGTTCTGTCTAGTTGAACAGTATATTAGTGAGTAGTACATATATTAGTGAGATACCTCTGTATGGTCTCTGGTACATACATGTCACCCATCACTGATTTATTATTGTCAGTCTATGCCTTTACATCTGGTTTTGCTTGTTTTAGGCAATTGGATGTTCTGATGTTTGGTGTGCATATATAAAATTGTTATGTTCTTTGGTTAGATTTTTCCTTTGATCAATAAAACATAACCTTTTCCTTTCATAATTCTATTTTCAATTCTTATTTGTCAACTATTAATATATCTATACCTACTTTTTTAAAATATGGATTTCATCTCTTGGACTTTTTTTTCCCTTACATTTCTCAGTTTGCCTCCCTACTGTGTTTGTCTTTGCCAATGATGTGCATTTCTTATAAACAGCAAATTGGTGTGTCCTGTGTTTTTAATAAAACTTGCTACTTTGCGTTTTTTATTTGAAAGTCCTTAACATTCGGAGATACTACTATACTATGTTTATTATTCAAAGGTGTATATTAACAAATTCTTTAGAAAATCTATCTCCTTAAAAATCCTAACTATATTTCTTTCTTTGTCTTAGGCTTTACTGATATATAGATATCGACATAGATATAGCTTATATTGATAGTATATACTGAAAACATACTATACTTATAGCATATTTATAGATCAGTCTTTGGATCTGTGAAAGTCACAGATCCATTCTAGAAATGTAACCAGATACTATAGTAAAAGCATCTACTCATTCAGGACATTTATCTTCCATGAGGATGTTTCAGGGTGGTTCATTATATTTTAATGTATGTGCTATGACAAGATATCATCATATGTGTACAAGAGACACTGATTTCCTGCTTCCAGATAAATTATGAGATATCAACAACAGTTCTACTGTAGATACATAAAATATATGTGGATATTATTTTCAATTAACAAAATCCAGGAGAACAAATAAAATACTTTTATAGGGTTGTTCCAAAACTTATAATATATACACTACTGATTTTTAGTATATCATAATTTTATCATGTATGTAACTTACTTAGATTAGCACAATGTAACAGACATATTTTAAAAACTCTACTGCTTATAGTCAAAATACCAGCTAGCCAAATTCCAGTAGACTCACCTTTTAAAAGCATGATGTCATTTTGTGGTAAGAGATGTCTATTTAGGGCTATGTCTACCCTATTATTTGGTGACTACATTTAAGTTTCTTTCATGTTTGTCTGTGTTTCAAAAAGCTTTGAATAAATAAGTTTCCATAAAGTGCTTCAAGTGGTCAAGTGGCAGACATGGGTCATAATTGATTTGTTGGCAAAATGAGCCTAATGGAAATCCTCAAACAACCCAAGCTATTGCCAAGGCTATTGGTTGCAATCCCCAAACTGATGGTAAGTCTTTATTCCTGAAGAGAAACATTATATTACCCAGTGAACAAGGAGAAGTCAATCTGGCGCTACATACTGAGAAGGCTAGGCTGTCTCCATGACAGGCTTAAAATTGACAGTTCAGGAGACTTGGCCTAAATCTCTGTTTCTAAGAACTGGACAAGTCTAGGCAAGTCCAGGCAAGTCCAGGCCTCAGAAGCTGCCCTGCCACCTGGCCCAAGGTAAGGACAATGGGTCATCAGCAGTTTCCAGACATCCACAGCAATAGTTTCCAGAGTTCTCCAGCAACAGTTTTCAGCCCTCCAGACCCCAGAAATGGTTCTAAAATGTTCCAATAGATAAGTCAAGATTAAGATAGAAATCACCTATCCCTTCCTGGAATCCCCCTAATGTGCCTTGAATCAGGGATTTAATCTTACTTCAGGGTCTCTCTCTATCTTTGTAGATGGTAGACCCCAGCATGCTGGACTTCTGCAGAATAAAACACTCTTTATGTTTCCATACTATTTGAGTCCAGGGTATCATTCTCTGGTGAATCATGGACCATTATACAACCTATTGCCATTACCCTGACTGACTAATTGTTATGATAATATAAAGTGCCCTGTACATTACCAGAAGAGAAAGGTAAGCACACAACCCAGTTATAAACCCTACATCTAAAACTATGGTGTGCCGGCAGTATATTCTGTTACAATAGTGGCACAAATGTGGGAATAATCAACTACTATCTGACTGGATATTGGACTTAAGACCCACTGCATGAGATGTAATCTATATCTGACACTGTTTGGGTGACCAAGAATCTGAGAATAGATAGGCCATGGACCTAGAGGATATCGAAGAACCATGTTCTGCTAATGAAACATAACAATAAATGACTCATGACAACATTCTGTTATACTTTTAGATCAGGGCCTTGGTCAGCCATCTACCAAGAGCTTCCTCCTGTTATAGATGTGAATAAAATATAGAGACCTACAAGTGGACAATGTGAAGAGCCTGAGAGACCTTAGAACACTCAGTCCTAAAAGAGTCATCTCTATCTAATCATTACCCTTAGTCCTCAGGGAACTCTATGAAAGAGGAGATTAAAAGATTGTAAGAGCCAGTGGGAGTGGAAAACACTTAGAAAACAAGGTCTTCTAGACACAATAGAACTGACACACATATGGACTCACAGAAACTATGGCAAGACAGATGGGGTTCCAGTACTAAGAAGGGAAGCAGACAGCAGCCCCATCCTTAAACCAAAAGCCACTGTTAATTGATAAACACTCACAAAGAAAAAATTAGTTTTCTCCAACATAGTCTCACTGGATATACAAGCCACACTAGGGTATGCACCATGTTCATACCCTAGATGATGGCCAACACAAAATAAATTCACAATGCTTTGTCTGAACATTTTCTTAAATGTTCCAAGTCTTTTACATGCATATCATGGTTTCTGATTTGTGTTTTTTATGGGACTTCAATGTGTGCAAATTTGTATGTGCTAAAATCTGTATGTGGTGCGTGTGTATGTGTGTGTGTGTGTGTGTGTGTTCTCTTTGGCTACTTTTTCTCTTTGGTTGTTTTTATTTTATTTTATTTTATTTTATTTTACTTTATTTTATTATTTTTTAGATGCTTGATAGTTTTCAAATGAGAAAAAGAGAAGAAATAGTATGGATTTGGATGGATGGGAGATGGGAAGGATCTGGGAGGAACTGAGAGAAAAAACATATTCAGAATATATTATATGAAAAAAATATGTTTTTAATTGAAATATATGATGTCATATTACTAAGGTTCTTATTGTGTTTTGCTAAAACTCTGATAATTACTGATGTTTCTTATTTATGGTCTATGCTTTTTCAGGTCACAGGAGTTTTGTAAATCTGGTCTCTTAATACACTATAATTCTATTACTGCATTATAGTTAGACAGTATGAGTGTGTGTATTTGTGTGTATGTGTGTGCCCATAGCATATCACTTTCCAGAAAATATAACTTCATCCATAATAATTTATAACAGTCTTATCACTTTCTATTTGTGGTAACTCAATTTCTTATTATCAATAAATCATTTTAATATCTTAACAATCTCTAACAATGAAAACCCAGTTCTGATTTTATTATGCTTAAATATCGTTTAGTCTAATAAGATCTTTTAAGTTTAAATGTGATCTTTCTAAGCAGGTAGAAGCCAAATAATCTTAGTGTATCTGAAGTCATTTTTATTACCTGAAGCCAACAGATGGTATGGTAGTCCTTGGAACAGGTACTTAAAAGTATTGTTAAAATAAGGACTAAATGTAAATACAAAATTACATTTAAATGGTTATTATTGTATGAACTAGAGAAACTATTAATGGGTATTTGGGAGGCAAAGAAAGATCAGCATATGCAGAAGACAGGGGTTGAGAAAGTTGATGATAATATGAAACTTTGAGAGTTCAGGATGGTTGAGGTCAAAATGAAAAAGATATTAAGTCAAAATAAGTCTTTAGAGACAAACTAAAATCTGACCAAAATGAGCTTAATAAGAAAATACTCTTAATATATAAGTTATTATCTGAACCTATAGGACCCTTTTGAAATGTGTTTGATTTAAGAAGATGCACCATCTGTCTCTCTGCCCCAGATCTAGGCAGTTATACAGGAGGTCCAAAAGTCAGTAGCCAACCAGGAGAGCTAGATAGTCACATTACCATCTGTGGTCCTCAAAGCAATGCTCTGCAGGGGATTGGATTGATTTCTGTGGCACGCATAACCACTGAGGGTTATGCAGATATGGGTGACCTGCACTGCAACCTGAGGCCATGGTGGCATCCAGGTCCCTGCTGTTATTGAAAGCCTTCTCACCGTCGGAGGCCCTACTGTAGGTGGGGGTCTGTGTTGATGTCAGTGACCCATGTTACCACCAAAGGGCATGTGGATGCTTTGCATGGTCTGTGGTGCACCCCAAAACCATGTTGATATACATGGATTGTACTTACCAATAGGGCCATGTTTATGTGGGTGGCCTCTGCTGCCACCCGAGACCATTTTGATATCTGTGGTCTGGCCAGCTTGTGTTGTAGTTCTTCTGTAGCAGGAGACCATGTTTGTGGTCTGTAGTGTCACCAGAAACGATGTAGAAGCCCATGCTCTCACTGTGGATTATATGCACGAAAATAGTCTTAATATATAAGTTATTATTGGAACCAGGACTCTTTTAAAATGTATTTAATTTAAGAAAAGAGCAAGGAGATTACTTTTGCTATGATACTCATGACTGCAGACACACACAGTTGAGAGGAAAGGACATGGAAATCTTCTGTGATAAACCCTAATGCCCCATCCCCCATGTCTTCAAAAGTAACAGACTAGACAGGAAGCCACTGAAGAGAAAGCTTCAAAAATGTGAAGAGTATGTCTCCACAATTGATGGTATCTGGTGGAGGTGTGGGAAGGGAAAGACTCAGTTCTATTTAAGGGGCAGGTCACTGAGTGTTTGACCATGCACCAGTGAGTATATAGAAAACACAAAGGGAACTCTTCTTCTTTTTTCTATGCATCTTATATTTTACTCCTTCTGGAGAGTGCTGTAGAGCAGAGACAGGTAAGAAAGGATTGGGAAGGAACTTTTATGGTGTGCATGATAGGAAGTTCCTAAAGAATCAATAAGTGTGTGACATGTGTGTTGGTGGGAGAGGAGGGATATATTAGTTTGAAAACATAAATATTGGACTTCATTACAGCTGGTTTCTAATCACTGTCTTTTCCTAAAGAGAGGTGACAATATTCCTGTCTCTGGACACCAGCAGATGGTCCTACACCCATGCACATGGAGCTCTTAGTGGACTCAGTGGGTTTGATTAAAAAAAAAAAAGCCCATGAGGTTAGTAGAAAGGATGGGAAGGGTAATAAAAAAAAAAACTGTTTGGCAGGAAATGAGGAGTGTATTTGATTGAAACACATTATATGTATGTTTGAAAGTTCTGAACAATAAAACTTTTAACTGGTTTTTCCCATGGTAATATTAAACATATAATAAATAAGCTATAAATCTATGAACCAAATCTTTTAATGAGTGATAGCTTTGATACCTGGTCACAGATATTCATATTTTTGTGTTTCCAGAGTTTTATTTTGTTTTTTGTTTTTTGTTTTTTGTTTTGGTTTTTTGATTTTGTTTTGTTTTAGCTTTTAAGAGTTTATATTAAACTCGCAAAGATGCTACTTTTATTTTTCTCTTTGGTGTTTTGCTCATTTTATTCTATCCTTTCCCTCTCAATATTCATGATTTTCTCTAATATTTTCTACCTCTTCAGTTATTGCTGTTTTAAAGAGCCATAAAATATAATTAAAGTAGCTAACATCTTAGGAATAATTTAATGACCAAATTTAATTTTTTTAATCTAAATTAAAAATGTACTTTTACTCTCACCATAATGAATTCCCCAAAGTTAATCAGGAGAAAATTTCACTATATCACAAACATAAACCTTTGGTTAATGCTCTTAATGTGAACAAAGGTTCCTGTCTGTAGGAGATATAGGAGGAGGGATGGGTTAGTCCTTATCCCTGCCCCAGAACAAACAAGGAACAGCTTTCATATTCTATAATACTGAAGAAAATGATTTCTGTAATCTTTGAGTGTTTTTTTCCTCTCACTGTTATGTAGATAATTCAATGTTATGAGAAGATTGACTGCCAATAGTTCAAAGTCAGCATTCATAAGTATGCATGTATAAAGATACAGTAAGATCCATTGTACATTATGCCCTAAGTATCCTAAAGATTTCCCAAGCAATTTACAAGTTTACAAGGCTGGTATCTTTTAACCCATGATATCCCTGAAACATTCTCAACTCCTTGCAAAGATGTTTACAAGGGGGATGGGTTTTACCATCTTGCTCTGCATCTTGTGCTTTGCTCTTCTATATTTTCTTTTTTTATATTTGATTTTTTGCCTTGTATAAAAATAAAAGTCATTTTTCTTACGATATGCCCTAGTCTTCTTTTCTACTCTCTGTCTTGGAACAGTCTTTCACTTACAAATGCTAGCCAGTGATTCCTAGTCTGTACTGCTAAATGAGATCTAGCTAGACCTGTTGATGTCACCTGTATATACGTACAGGGCACAGCCTCTCCCTGTATATCCCATAAACTTTCCTATTTATGCTGTTCATTAATCATAAGCCTTAAAACAATCAACTCTCATCAGATTTTCAATTTTGATTTTCTTCATTAAGAAGGGTAGGTATTTAAGTTTACAGTTTCCTTATAATGAAATGTATCCAAAAATAAACAATTGGTAGAAAAGAGATCAGATAAATAGATAGGTGATAAAGCACGCATAAGAACGTGAAATGTAGGTGGTAGATATGTAGATACACATCACAAAGCTTTAAACATTTTTGTTTACATTTTTTCCATTAAAAATGTTACAGGAAAGGAAAAAGTCTCTAAACTGTGATTACCAAACATGTTCATTGACTGCTTTGACCTGGTTCATCAACAATTTATACCTCAGACCTCACAACAGTTTTCTTGGTCTGCTCCTATCAAATTCTCCCAAAGGAAACCTTCCTATTACCCAGTAAATACAACTTGACTAGGAATTTTGCCTCCAGTATAGGCATTCACTGGATACACTGCATCAGAATTCATAGTTTAAAAGATGCCCTGAATAATTTACATCAAGACAATTTGGGGAATTCACCTCACTTGCTTCAAAGCTTTTGATCACTCCCTGTTGCTGACAGGGTTGTGTTTATTTCTCTTTAAATCTACAAGCCAATAAGCCTTTTCTCTCTTAGTTGCTTTTCCAAGGCTATTTTATCACAGCAACAGAAAAGAAACTAATACAGTCACTCTAACCGTGTGGAAGAAGCAGAGAGCCTGAGCAATGATCATGTTGACTTACCTTACCATTGTGTGTTCTGAGAGAAATGGAAGAAGTTCAAGTGTGAAGAAAAGGCAAACCTGACAAGAGCTAGTTGTTGATTAGATATTGCAAGACCAACAAGGAAGAATCGAAAACCATGCTTAGGCAGTGAAGTGAGAAACTGAGAGGCAGCTGATATCGAAGCAGGAAGGATGTGCAAGCAGTCTGAAGAAAGTGACAGTGTTCAAAGGAGAGATCAGACCAGGAATCACAAATGTATGTGTGATTGGCTCACACATGCTGCTTAAGGTTAGAAAAGACCATCTAATAGGTGATTTATTTTTCTTTCTGATTTTTCTTTCCCCCATATTGGAAGACACCTGCTCTAAAAGGAATGAATTATTATTAGATCACATTTGTCACTACACATAAAAACTGGTTCAATAAAAATCTATTAACCCACCACCACCACCATGTGCAGCAGCAGGAAAAAGAAAAGTAGATAAGGTACAATGACTCTATCCTGACCATATTGGGTTTTCTGGACGTAAAAAATATTTCATTTATAGCACTCCTTCACTCCCAACACTGAGGAGGCGAGGTAAGCAAATCTAATCCCTGAACCCTGAGTGCAATGCCAGCCTAATTTAGAGCAAGTTTCTGGGGGAGGAAAAAAGAAGAGTTTACTTATAGTAACCAAGTCAGCCACTAGATGGCATAGGCTACCATATGCAAAATAGCCTTTCAAAAATGAAACTGGTTTATAAGATCATTTCGACTGAATGAGAAGCTCCAGAAACAAAATTTTACTGATCTATCCTCTTCATCCTTTCATATCTTGAGGGATTTGTTATTTAATGACAGGTCTTTCTGTTATGTTTCTTTGGGTTTGTCATAAAGCTGGAAAAATTAATGCAATCCTTTGTTTATAAGATGGATGAGTCTCAAAATAATCTGGAATTTTATCAACTCCATAAAGTGCAAGGTGGTATTCAACACTAGGCAACAAATTTTGTTTAGATGACTGTGAAGATGAATGGCCCTGTTGCATTCAAAATTGCTCAACAAAAGCCAAATGGCCAACCTCAGTGATCTCTGAAATATCTTACTCAGAAGGGAATGACACGTCAGTTACAAAAAACAAAGACATTCACAGCATATTGAACTATCCATACTAAATTAAAATTTTATTATATTTTTACTTACTTGTGTGGAGGTGGGTCGAGGAGGGTTCAATTGCCATGACATACCTGTAGAAGTCAGAGAATAATTTATGTGACAGTTTTCTCCTTCTATGATGCGGGCCACAGGGATGTAATTCAAGGTGAACTTGAGTCATCTGGCTTGGCAGCAGGCACCTTTACCTGCTAAGCCATCTTGTCCATCACTAATATTACATTTACAAAATACCTTCGACATCTTATTTGATATTTTGATCAGCGTGCTGGTTACTTAGCCCATGTGTGGCCATTTAAATTCAGAGAATAGAATAATGGAAAAAAACCCCAAACTGTTAAAGTCATAGTTCAATTATGAAGAATCTGCTAGATTGTCATTCTTTTTTAGGTTATTTTTTGTTGGTTCTTTGTGACTTTCACATCACACACTCTAATCACACTCATCTCCCCCTCCTCCCACATCTATCCTCCACCCTTGCAACCTCCTCCCTCAACAGAGGAAAAAAATTGTTATGGAAATTTTAATGTGTCACAGTGTGTCCCACAGTATATCCTTTTGCCTAAACTTCTTTCCTTGCAAATGTTCATTGGAATGACTCTTTGGTCTGGTATGAGGTCTCTGGTTTCTGCTGTTCTATTCTCTCAATACTATCTATCTAACCTCAATGTGACTTCTCTCAGATATCCTGTTGTTGCCTGTCATAAAGATCCTATAGTTTTAGATCAGTAGCAGTCCATCAGTTTGTTGATGGGGTAGATGTTGGGGTGGGTCAGTTCAAAGCCCTGGACCTGAGCCTGCAAGGTATCTGACCTGCTCATCCCATACAGTCTTCCTCTCTTATGCCTTTGGGATTGGCTCACCAGCAAGCCCCACATCCAGGGCATGCTCTACTGGGCTGCCCATGTAAGGAGCAGAGTCTGAACACCTCACTGCTGCAGCAGGTGAGGAGCAGCAGAACCAGATCTCCTGATCTCATGACCCCAGATCCAGCTCTCCCACCTGTTATAGGTGGCAAGAGTTGATGATTAGGAAGGATATCTCTCCCTCACCTACACTGATGCCATGCTCACACACACTCGGGGCCACCTCACCCACACCCTGAGAGTCTGGAGTTGTCCAAGAATTTGTCTCAGGAATGCTATGCCACACTTGTACATTTTGACATGGAGCATAGGTCGTCTTGGGCATAGTCTGTTCACCTAGACCTGTGTAGTGCCAGACTGGTGTTCATGTTAGACTAGGTACTTGTTAGGACCCCATGGCACCTGTCTGGTTGTCATCTATGGCTCACTCCTCGCCTGGCCTGCAGGAGTGGCCCCTTGCTAAGGACATCTGTCTGAGCCTCAGTCCTACATTAGGCCCTGGGGCCCAAAGCCCCAGGCACAGTTCTTCTAAACTCCTGCTTGTTCCTGTCCTGGGAGCCAATGTGTGCCTACCTGGCCCCAGCATGGAGGTCATCCCAGGGTTTTTTGTTTTTGTTTTTGTTTTTGTTTTTTAATTTTCAGGGCTTGTAAAGCGACTAATCACTCAGATGTTTTTAATCAGTCAGAACACTAAGCTACGACACAGCCTCTTACCTTTCTGCCACCTTTGATTAAAGTGTGACACAGAAGCCATTCCTGCAAAGCCTCTGGAGTCAGGGAGATTATTATTCTAAGTAGCCAAACTTGTTTTCTTGAAGTACAAATTGCTTAAATTTGACCAGTTACTTTAAATATTTGGTAGTGACATAGGTTTATAAAACATGAACCTTTTTCTTATATCTTTCCTTGGCCAATATGTAAATATTTCTTTGTTCTATAAAAGAATTCTCATGGCTTGATAAATGTTATCTCCTGTGCTTGCTTCAGTAGCTCATGCACTAAATATAAAATGATACAGAGAAGATTCATCTGCCCCTACCTCCACAGAGATCACATGTTAACTAGTGAACTGGTTCATATCTTATGGGAAAAATATGTACGCAGACACTATCATAATGAAATATATTTCTTTGTGTGCTAACTTAAAGCGATAATATAAACATTTGCCCCCCCCTTTAGGGTAGCTCTAGGAATCATATGATATTCTGTACCAGATAAGTCTTCTTTTCTTTCTTTCTTTTTTTCTTTTCTTTCTTTCCTAGGAGGGGATCTGAGAAAGGGCTAAAGGTAAGACATTTTAAAATGAGAACTGAGAGCCAGTTGATAGTGAGAAAAAATGTGGAACTAAAACACACACACACACACACACACACACACACACACACACACAATTTAAAAATAAAACAAAAGGCAAACTGAATTTCTTTAGTTCTGAGAGCAGCTGACATCTGTCCCGGATGTTCTCTGTGGTTTCCCCCATGTTCTCTGCCACCTTTGCTCAGCCTCTTCCTCTTCAGGCAACCTTTTAAGTTATTTTGCTTCAGTTACTTTTCATGATTGCTCTCTACAGATAATAATACAAGAAATAATACATCCCAATGTTTCAACTTTGATGAACCCTTTCTGGCTACTTTCTTAATATTAGAAGTCTGTCTGGCATCACTTGGCACAGACTTTGGCAGTAGAATGCCTGAGTTTGAAGACTGATGCCACCACCTAGAGCCTAGTACACCTTGGCGTATTATATAACATGGCCTTGCTATATTCCTTAGCTCCACTGTCACTGGTGTCTATCCTGTACTTGAAGAATGACAATCGTCCTCCTGTCTTGCTATGTGCAAGTTACAATGACACAGTCCTTGTGATATAACTACCGTAATATCTGGAAAAAGTGAAAAACAAAGCAGTATCTTTGCGCTCCTTCTTTGAAAACAGGTACATGCATATCAGGTGTCTCCACTAAAATGTCTTATATGAAACCTTAAGGTAATATAGTCACCACATCTTAAATATTAGTTTTCTTTCATAAATTGTCAATTTAAGCGAATGGCAGCAGTCTTGCCTAATTTTGATGGCAGCAATCTTGCCTAATTTTGATTTTCTAATCTTTCACAATTATTCAATCTCCACCACCTGCTGAATAAATTTACCTGGGATTATTTCCTATAATTTATTTCTATTCAGTCATTCACTCGCTCGTTCATTCAGATTTTATTTATCTCTTAATTGAGTGAGTATATTACCCATTTTGATGGGACTTGACTATATGGCCATAAAGCATCTCTGTCTGTAGACTCAAGTTACCCAGGGATATTAACATAAAGGGGTGAGATTATAAGCATTCCTACTTTAGTTTCTCATTACAACAATCCCTCAGGTAGATTGTTACAATTTGTAACAATTGTTGCAAATTTCTCCAATATTAACTTTTTATACTACATAAAAATTAATCACATTAACCAATGCAATTATTAGACACAAGAAAAATAACCTTTATCCTAGCATAATAAGAAACAACGGGATAAACTACTTAAAGAGAAAATGTGATTGTATATGTAGAAAAATCTAAAGTAGCTATAAAAATATAATAAAAATTACAAGCAGAAGATAAAATGATCAGTGTTTAAGTGAGAATATAAGATCCAGCATGCATGCATATATTTCATGCCTAAACAAAAAATAATATGTAATTAAAATATAGACACACATGCAAAAAGCCTAGAGAAAATATGTAATGGAAGGATATATGACCATTTGTAATTCAAGAAAAAAACAGGAAAAAAAAGAACTTTGAATAAACATACCAAGAAATATTCATTATTTATGTAAAGAAATCCAGAAAACAGTTTAGAAAGAACTAGATTCCATAAATTAATTGGAAGACAGACCATAAAGAGGGAAAGAAAAGTAATAGTATAATAACTACTTTAATATATTTATAAATTTATCTTAACTCTGATAAATTGTCTGTAAGCATTTTTCTTTTTTAAAAAATTAAATTTTTATTGGCTATTTTATTTGCATTTCAGATGTTATCCCCTTTTCCCATCCTCCCCTCAGAAACCCCTATCCTATACCCTCTCCTCCTGCTTCTATGAGGATGTGCCTCCATCACCCACCCACCCCACCTCCCCATCCATGAATTCTCTCACACTGGGGCAGCCAGCCTTCACAGGACCAAGGACCTCCTCTCCCACCTAGGCCTAACAAGGCCATCCTCCCCTACATATACAGGGGAGCCATGGGTCTCTCCATATGTGCTTCCAGGCTGGTGGTTTAGACTCTGGAAGCTCTGGTTGGTTGGTCTTGTTGCTCTCCCCATTGGGCCACAAACCCCTTAAACTCCTTCAGTCTTCTCTCTAACTATTCCATTGGGAACTCTACGATCAGTTCAATGGTTAGCTGTGAGTATTCGCCTCTGTATATGTCAGGCTCTGTCAGACCTCTAAGGAGACAGCTATATCAGACTCCTGTCAGTTGCACTTCCTGGAATCCACATCAGCTTCTGCCTTTCCTGTCTGAATATGGGATGAATACCCAGGAGGAGCAGTCTCTGGACAGCCCCTCCTTCAGTTTCTGTCCACTTTGTTTCCATATTTGTTCCCATGAATATTTTGTTACTCCTTCTAAGGAGGACCAAAGCACCCACACTTTGTTCTTCCTTCTTCATGAGCTTCATGTGATCTGTAAGCAGTATCTTGGGCATTGTGAGCTTTGGGGCTAATATCCAATTATCAGTGAGTGCATAGCATGTGTTCTTTTGTGATCAGGTTACCTCACTCAGGATAATATTTTCTAGTTCCATCCATTTACCTAAGAATTTCATGAATTCATTGTTTTTAATAGCTGAGTAATACTCCACTGTGTAAATGTACCACATTTTCTGTATTCATTCCACTGTTTATGGACATCTGGGTTCTTTCCAGCTTCTGGCTATTATAAATAAGGCTGTTGTGAACATAGTGGAACATGTGTCCTTGTTATATATTGGAACTTCTTCTGGATATATGCCCAGGAGTGATATAGCTGGGTCCTCAGGTAATGCTATGTCCAATTTCCTGAGGAGTCACCAGACTGATTTCCAGAGTTGTTGTATCAGCTTGCAATCCTACCAACAACGGAGGAATGTTCCTCTTTCTTCACAGCATCTTCTATCCCCTGAGTTTTTGATCTTAGCCATTCTGACTGGTGTGAGGTGGAATCTCAGGGTTGTTTTGATTTGCATTTCCCTGATGACTAAGAATGTTATCCTTAGTCATTTTTAGGTGCTTCTTGGCCATCTCTACTGAGTTTCCTCAGTTGAGAATTCTTTGTTTAGCTCTGTATCCCATGTTTTTTAATAGGGTTATTTGGTTGCCTGGAGTCTAATTTCTTGGGCTGTACTACAGAGCAATAGTGATTAAAAACTGCATGGTATTGATACATAGGCAGGAAGATCGACAAAATAGAATTGAAGATACAGAAATGAACCCACATACCTATGATCACTTGATCTTTGACAGAGGATCTAAAACCATCCAGTGGAAAAGGACAACAAATGGTGCTGGTTCAACTGGATGGAGGTCAGCATGTAGAAGAATGCAAATCGATCCATTCTTATCTCTTTGTACAAAGTTCAAGACCAAGTGGATAAATGACCTTCACATAAAACCAGATACACTAAAACTAATAGAAGAGAAGGTGGGGCAGAGCCTCAAATACTTGGGCACAGGATAAAGTTCCTGAACAGAACAAATGGCTTATGCTATGAGATCAAGAATTGACAAATGGGACTTCATAAAATTGCAAAGCTTCTATAAAGCAAAGGACACTGTCAATAGGAAAAAACAGCAACCAACAGATTAGGAAAAGATCTTTACCAATCCTACATCTGATAGAGGGCTAATATCCAATATATACAAAGGATTTTTTTCTACTAATAAAAAACTTTCCTAGGAAAATCCATTAGACATTTTTTAAAAGTAATAAGAATATTTAAGTAAACCTAAGAAGAAGAAGAACAACAGCAAAGAAAATGAAAAAAAGGTCAGGTCAAAAAGTATTTGAAGCACCATAAAACATGATTCAAAAACTTTGCCCTTAGCATGTGGATGTTAATATAAACCAATGGAAACAGAAGAAAATAAAGAAACAGATGCAATTGTAGGTGGAAATTCAATGCGCAAGATGAGAAGCATTTTAAATCAGTGGGTGGAAGATGGACTTTTAAATAAACCTTATAAATGAATATCCATATGGAGAAAAATAAAACTTGCTCCATCTCTAACATCACAAGCCAGCAAACATTCCCAATGGATCAAATATTTAAATCAAGGGTTAAAAAAGGAACTGAATATGCATCAGAAAAACTATTTGTGAATTCTTCTATAATCTGAATTTAGGGAAGTATTCTTCAACGTGATTAAAATCTAGGTACTCAAAAGGAAAAAAGAAAAGGAGGGGGGAGGAGGGAGGGAGGGAGGGAGAGAGAGAGAGAGAGAGAGAGAGAGAGAGAGAGAGAGAGAGAGAGAGAGAGATTCAAGGGCTTTTTTCCCATGGGACTCTAGTAATTCTAGAAATAACAGTTGACAAGTAGAGCCAAAGAGACAGTTAACCAAGTAAAGAAACATTCTACAAAATGGGGAAAAAACTATGCAATCTTACTGAAAATTAGTAACTGAAATATGCAAAGAACTCAAAAATCTAAACAACAAGCAATCAAACAACCCAATCAATAAATAAACAAATGAACAGACAATTCCCAAAAGACAAAATCTGTGAGTCTGTAGCTCACGAATG